TCGTTTTTACGCAGTCGTCCAATTATTCCGGGTTACCTGTATTAGGAAGAGAACGTAATCGAATTTGAAGTTTAAAGAAAGTAGATAATTATACCCTGTAAGGTAGACCGGTCAGTTGAAGATGCTCTGATGAGAAGGATTGTTCCTAGAGAGCATTTCCGAGAATAACCGTGCGTGGCCCAGGAGAACTTCCTAGCATACGTTGATGACCGTGCGTGGCCCAGGAGTTCTTAAAGAACTAGTAGACGAAATTTGTTCGGCCGAGTTGTTGAATGCTGGAATACTTGACGCCATGAAGGACGGACGATAGAGGATTGAAGACCAAGTACCCGAGTGGCCGAACGATCCAGTTCTTGTGAGGCCGAACGGCCGAATACCTGAATGTTGAGGCCACAGAATACCTGAATGTTGAGGCCACAGAAGGCCGAATAGTGGAGGTCGAGCGACCGGACACCAGCAGGAACGAACGGCCGAAACGAATGCATGGGAGGCCGAATTGTCGAATGCATGTGAGGCCAAATGGCCGAAATGAATGCACGAAAGGCTGAACGGCCAAATTAATGGACGAACGTATGTGGGGCCCGGGAGACCGAACGGTTGAAACCGTGAGGCCGAACGACCAAACATCTGAATCATATGGCCGAACGGCAGATGCCTCTGGAGGCCGAGTCCCTGAGGCTAGAATTGGCCGACAAGTTGTAGCCTTTGGAGGCCGAATTGTTGGCTGACTATCTGCGAAGCCCAAAAATTTGGTGCCATATTTGGCTAAGTGTCTACAAGGCCAGATTATGGAATTACCTAAGACCAAGGTATGGCCGAGCGGCAGAATCCGGATGACCAATCACGAGCTTGGGCCTATCAACCGAACGTACTAGGCCAAGGAGGTCGAGCGAGTAAGGCCCTTACAGGCCGAATGCGTGGGGCCTCTGTTCACCGAATGGTTAAAGAAGCGAGGCCGCGAGGCCGAATCGCTTCTGTCGAACGCATGAGGCCAAGTTTGGTGAAGTTCATGTTAGAATAGGTTTTGAGGATTTACCTAAGGCCAATGCATTGGCCGAGCGCGCGTATGGTGAAGAGTCAATGACAGTACGCATGAGGCCAATCGGTAGAACGGGCAAGACTGATTTGTTGGATTGTCGAGGCCGGGCGTAGAACGACCGGTAGTTCAGGTTGAACGGCCGGGATGACCAAATGCTGAATGCCAATTTGGCTAAGTACCTGAGGCCTAATGGCCGAATGGTAGATCTCGAACACGTACCTTGCAGGCCAAATGGCCGGATGGCGGATGCCAAATTTGGTTGAGGCCGGACGGCCGAGAGTTGAGCCGAATTGCCAGATTCTAGATGCCAAATTTGGCTAAGTACCTAAGGCCGGATGGCCGCTTGGTAGAGGTCGAATACTTGGAGGCCGAATGGCCATACGGATGATGTCGGACGACCGAGAGTTGGATGCCAAATCTGGCTAACGTTGAGGCCGGACGGCCGAGACTTAAGGCTTGATAGCCGACAGCTGAGGCCAAATGGCCGAGAGCTTGTTGAGGCCGGACGACCGAGAGTTGAGCCAGATTGCCAGATTCTAGATGCCAAATTTGGCTAAGTACCTAAGGCCGGATGGCCGCTTGGTAGAGGTCGAATACTTGGAGGCCGAATGGCCATACGGATGATGTCGGACGACCGAGAGTTGGATGCCAAATCTGGCTAACGTTGAGGCCGGACGGCCGAGACTTAAGGCTTGATAGCCGACAGCTGAGGCCAAATGGCAGAGAGCTTGTTGAGGCCGGACGACCGAGAGTTGAGCCAGATTACCAGATGCTAGATGCCAAATTTGGCTAAGTACCTAAGGCCGGATGGCCGCTTGGTAGAGGTCGAATACGTACCTTGGAGGCCGAATGGCCGGACGGTTGATGTCGGACGACCGAGACTTGAATGCCAAATCTGGCTAAGGTTGAGGCCGGACGGCCGAGACTTGAGGCTTGATAGCCGACAGTTGAGGCCAAATGGCCGAGAGCTTGTTGAGGCCGGACGACCGAGAGTTGAGGCCTGATGGCCGAGAGTTTGAGGCCTGATAGCCAAGTACTTGAGGCTGAACGACCGGGAGTTGAGGTCGAACAGCCGGGAGGTGAGGTCGGATGGCCGGGGAAACAAGGCCACGAAGTCGAATGGTCTTGACCGAACGACTGAGGATGCGCGACCGAACAGTGGAGACTGAGTTGTTGGGTTGATGAAGCCGAGTGCAAAGGGTTGAACGGTGGAAGTTGACGTTCTTCTGAGGTGCCCCTCATTGGTTCCTTGTGTTTACAATGGGGAATACCCACTCGGCCCCACGGTGGACGCCAAATGTTTCGACCGGATCTGGTGGGATCCTGTTAAAACACTCACAAACGATGAAGATTGGCAGACGGATGATTTCGCATGCAACGGATCAGACGGACGCTTGATGGCGGGTGGCTGATTTCTCACCAGCCGAAGCAGATCGAGCGGCTCTGGCGCTTGGGAGCACTAGGAGCTGACGAGAACCGGACGGACACTGCTGAATCACACGAACTGAAGAAGACCGGGCCAAGACCGGACGGACACTGTAAGACCCTAGAACCTCAAGAATTTACCGAGTTGTAAGAAGTTCAAGTTATAATGTAAAATAGAATGCTTCAAAGTTTGACATGGTTTACTATTTTAATTATAACTTTTTGTAGAAAATATCAATTGAGTTGATCAAAGAGCTTCAATTTGAGTACCCATACGCGTATTTTCGACTTCGGGAAGGGGGTCAACCGGACGATCAAAGTTGCTACAATCGTGCTGTTGGGGGACTTGCGCCCAGCGCCCTTTCCTATGTGGCGCCCAGGCGCGAGGCTTGCGCAAAAAGTGGCGCCTAGCGCCTCTAGTGGGGCGCCCGGGCGCGAGCGTATCAACTTTCAGATCTGAAATAAGTGGGAATTGCATGGAAAGTTGGGGAATATGCTCCATAATCATAATGTTCGTCCCTTGGGCCAGAGAGGAGCGTGGGCAGACCTCCTTTCCAATTATTAAGTACTTCTTAGTGGATTAAGGGGCCATGGTGTCTCTTGGGCACATCTACAAGTGTGGGAAAAAGGAAGAAATGGGTTCTGCACTTGTGGGAGTGAAGTTGTTGCTGCAAAATCCGTGAGAGAGGTGAAGTTGAGAGCTTCTAGAGTTGCAAGGAGGCCAAGGTGCTGCAAGTCTTGTGAAAATAGATTCAAGGTTTTGCAAAGGAAGTCTTCAAAAGGTAAGGGGTTTAACTAAGGATATAACATAGTGTATGATGGGTAGAAGGTAAGGGGAGCTAGATCTATTTCTTTGATTTTTGAAATATATTGTGTTTGATGCAAATCTGGGAATAAGGGGGTGAAAAATGGGGTTTCTGGAAATCTGGTGCAATTCTGCAGAATTCTGCAGAACGCGCGTTGTCCAAATTGCTCGACCAATTAGTGGTCGGCAAACTATCCTGAGTGTTCGGTCTTCGTGAAATAGTGATCGTCGGCGTTTGTCCTTAAATTTGTATTCTCAGAGAGTGATCTTAAGCGTTCGGTCTTGGTTATGTATTGGTAATTGTAAGCGTTCGGTTTTGATGAGGTATTCACAGGTTTAGCTTGTAACGTTCGGTTGTTAGGTGTTACCGTTTGGTTAAGCCTTGATTTTGGTACCGTTCGGTTAGGTGTTGATTTATGTCGTTCGGTCAGAGTTTATTTTTAATACAGTTCGGTTGATATCTGAGTTGATAGTATCCGGTTAAGCATTGATCTGTTACCGTTCGGTCTTGAATGTTTAGTACCATTCGGTTAGTCTTTGTCTTGGTACCGTTCGGGTAGGTTTTATTTTGGTAGTCAAATTTAGTAACGTTCGCTCTAAGAGTTCAGTTGGTACCTTACAGTTAAGGGTGAGTTTAATACCGTTCTGTTAAGTGTTGAATTAGTACCGTTCGGTCAGAATTGGATTTAATACCGTTCCGTCAGGCTTTGATTTAATACTGTTCGGTGAAGTGATGATGTGGTATTGGTCGGTCATGTGTTAAGTTTTGATAATTCGGCCAGGATTCTAGACGATCGTCCAGTACTTTAGGTGTTCAGCAAAGTGACCTAGGGATTCGACCAAGACACAAAACGTTCGTCCTAATGGTGTCCGGTTTAATAGTGTTTGATTTTGAGTGTTCGGTCTTGATATATTAGTGAGTATAAGCGTTCGTTCTTAACTTGGTATTCTTGGGTAGCAATCTTGAGCGTTCGGTTTTAAGTTGGTATTCTTAGGTTTGAGCGTTCGGCCTGGGTCTGGGTTTAATTGTGATTGTGAGCGTTCGGGCTTAAGTTGGTATTTTTAGGTTTGGATCTTGAGCGTTCGGCCTTGGTTTTTTAATTGGATTGTGAGCGTTCGGCCTTAAGTTGATATTTCGGCCTTATATATATTATTTCACGTATTATTATTATTATTTTATATATATTTTATATAATAGAAAAAATCGAAATCAATTCTTTTAAATATATATCTGAAAAATCGATTCTCGCATCTCCAGTGTCACGTGCTGTCCAAAATCTATTTCCGTTGTGCATTCTTAGGCTCACCAAGACACACTCCAATGGCATCCAAGAGCAGCAGCACTCTAACAACAGGGTACTTGTGTCAATTTATACAAGTAGAGATATCTTTCTTGTCACATCTCCTCACCCCACCGTGGAACCACATCAGTAAAAACAAATAAAGGCTAAGAGTGACATAGCCTGAACACATAAGGTCCCCTCACCCTAAAGTTATACAAGAAATTTGAGGCAATGGTTTAATTTGTTGTTATGGTGTCAAAGCTGCAACAACAGTTAGAAGACTTTTGTATCATGGTATACTACAGATAAATTTGCTCTCCTATAAGTCAATCACGAACCTTAACCCACCATAGACAGTAACCTGACACTTCGAAAACATAGAATAGAAATTTGCCAAGATCACTCTTGGGACAGAAAAACAGCAATTGGAAATAATTGGAGGAGCGAATTTCTTTAGTTAACCCCTCTTTGAGCTTCAACTTTTGCTTCAACTTTATCATATGTACACAATCTTACACCGAATTGTCTTTCAATTAATATAGTAAATAGTAAAGCATGGATCAGGCTCCCAATCATGGTACGGTGGATGCAATCTGGAACCATAAATTACCATTTGAAAACTTTACTGCTTTACTTGTGTGGGAAAAAACTATGTTCTACAAATTAAAAACTACCAAGGCTGCATCTGAGGTTCATCCAAACCATGTTGAATAGGAAAAGGTTCCGCAGTCCAGAATTCTCCATAATTGCTTTGGGAGAAAATCTTGTCTCCTTGATCATCATCATCATCCTCAGCCTCGAAATCCAATTCCTCAAATATATTCTCAAAACCATCATCATACAGATTCTCAAAATTGTCGATCCCAATATTATCATCGTAATCATCATCACTGTCAGAATTATTTTGATCAGCTTCATTCAAGCTGCCAATATCTTTCCTAAACCTACTCTTCCTTCTCTCTCGTCTCATTCTCTTGGACTCCCTAGCCAAGTCCATCCATTTATCCTGTATGGATAAAATCTCTTCCTTCTCCAATAAGTCACCCTTCTCACCAAACCCCTCCACCAAGAAAACTGAATGTCGTTGCCCTTTCAAACTCACATAAAACAATTCCGGGTGCCTTATTATCATCCCTCTCAACTTGTTTGGGAAGCCAAAGTCCTTTCTGAAATGAGTCAAGTGGTCTATTAAAGTCCTCTTTTCAATTGTCATTGCAAGAATCTCCCTTACTACTGCACAAGATCTCTTTTCTGCCTCTAACGATTCCTTGGAAAAAGCCTCAGCAGGATTCCTATAGGGGCAAACTTCTGGCATTTCTTCAAATCTCAGCAAGAAATCCTGGTGACGTCTCTTTAAATTAAGCCCCTTTCGAAGCCTCAATTGCTTGAACTTCAAAGGACGATCAACTATGAAACCAGGATCACGGGATGCACGAGGCGGCAAACACTTTGCCAAGTTGACATCCCAAGATACAAGCTCAAGTGCACGGCCATAGGGCGTGTCAACAGTCCTGAATTTCTCCGGATGATCATTGCACAACCTGGACCTAAAATTAGGAGGGAGACCAAGATGTGGAGCAAAGTGAACCAATTTGGACAGAAGTAACTTGCGGCGAGAAGATAGCATAAGAAGCTTTTGCAGTTTCGCAGCCAACATGTTGGAAATGGAAGATTGAAAAGCCAGTTCCTCAGCAGCAACAGCAGCCGCAGCTGGGGTCAATCGAACACAGAGTTTGGGATGTAACTTGGTAGCATTGAGTGGTTTGGGAGGCCATGACATATTGAAGAGTTCAAAAATGGATGGATATCTATGAATCATAGAAAGTATAGAACGAGGCTTGGGAAGACCAAGATAAGAACGGCATTTACACAGAATATGAACTGGAATATAATGTTTCGATTTAGAGAGAAGTAAAGTTTTTAACTTTTGAACAAACCTAACCCTATACTTCATGACAACATGCTTATCGAGTGCACGGTCATGGACAAGTTTTATAGAGGAACAAGAAATTGAAACAGAGACATTTTGGAGACGGTTATCCGTTTTCAATTTCTCGTTGATCGAAAAAGATGAAGGTTTTGTTCCGCCATGAACGAAACTGGAACTTAGGGAAGCAACTGGTTTGGGATTGCCGAATGAAAGAGGGAGGCAAAGTGCCATGTTTAACGCTTCAACCACTCAAGATAACACACCATAACATACCTGAAAATGACAAAAAGAACAAAAATATTACAAGAATGAAATGTTATTGAGACAGAACACCAAATTCTTACAGCATAACAAGAAGACCAAATTCTTATAGCATAACAGGAACACCAAATTCTTATAATATTGAATTTGTATAGAAAATTTAAAGACAGAATTATGATTTCAATTAGAATAAAGCTTGTGTCGATTACACGGCAAAGAAGTGGTTAGCAAGGCAAGAAATGTGCTTTTCCGGCGAGGCAGAGAGGGTTTAAGAGAAAAGAGAGAGTAGGGTTTCTTCCGTCGAGGCCGTGAGGGAAGAAGGAGAATTTTATTCAAATTGAAAAAAAAAAACTAAGTTCTGATAAAAGTACTGTAACATTACTCAGACAGCTTATCTTCTCCCAAGTAAATAAGATGACATAAATAAAATAATAATCATGATACTCAGATAACAAAAAAAGTTACTTAATTTAAATATATAAAATATTTGAATACTAAATAAATCAAATAAAATATAACAATTGAATAAAATTTATTAGAAAGGTTAATGAAAGGTATAACATTCTAAAATTGATAAAAAAACATAGAACTAAACTATTTAAATAAAAATATATATTAACTTTATTGTATAATGCGTATAAGATTAAATAAAACTACACAAATTAAATTAAATTAAAATTAACTAGATAAGAATAGTTATCTTTTATAAACTAATTTGAGGATTTGTTGAATTTAGAGACCAATTAATCCCTTCTAGTTGAAGTAAATGGTTACTTTTAATTCCTAAAGATATACATTAATTTAATTTATAAGAGAATAATTTATTAAATTAGGCCTTAATATGTAAAAAGATGTGGAAATTTGGTTAAGTTTCATCAAATCATCTTATAATTCATGTTTAAATATTATTGAATAAGTAGCATGTTAATGATTAATTATATTAAATACGTTATTGGTGTTTAGCAATTGTCTTTATTAAAAAGAAAATTATGAATTAATATTAATTAATTTTAACAAAGTATTAAAAAGTTTAATTTTTTAAGAAAAATGTAAAAGGTGTAAGAACCTAGAAAATAGAGTATTAGAGTAGATAGGTGTATTAAAATAATGAGACGAGAAGTTACTTTAAAAAAATCTTATGATATAAATATAACTTTCTAAAGTTCGGTTCATTATCTAAAACACTTCTATCTCTCTAGAACACTATTCACATAAAGTTATTTGACTTCTCTCAAGATTTTCTCTCTACTGAGTTATCTGTTCGGCGATCAGGAGGTGCCTAGGCGATCTTGTCGTTGAAGGCTTCAATCTTAACTGATTAATTTTTGGATTTGGTCAAGTAAGTGAAAAACCCTCTTTCTTGGCCTTTAGGGTTCTTAACTTTTGTAGATGATTCTGCTCTTGCATGAACCAGGTGTTCATCTTCTTGAATTCCTAAATTTCTAGTGATTCTAAGGTTGGGTTCCAACTGTTAATCGGTGAATTGTAGGTTTGCTGAGAGTTCCTTGTACCGCAAGTAATCCGCGGAGCGTTTAATGGGGGTGAGCTGTTGAGTCAAGGTAATGGAAGCTAGAATTTTGTTTTAATTAGTAGTATGACATGTGTGTATGATAAATTCTGTGTTATGGTGCTATTTGAGTTGAATCTTAGGTTTTTAGTAGATTAAATTATCTGTTCTTTGAATGCCAAATCATGAAACTGTGAAATGATGATTGTGAGCTGAGTTGGATGGTGTGCATAGCTGTAATTCAACATATTAAATGTGAATAATATGTTATAGTAGTGATTAGATAGAAAGTGAAGTGAATTATGCTTGTTTAGAGTCATTTCAGAGGAAGTAAGGTAGTGGAAATGAGAATTAGAGGTTAAGGGCTCAATTGGTCTGCTGGGACAGTTTAGGTAAGTCAGATGTGACTTGTTTGAGTCATCAAAATGGTCAAAAATATGTACAAAGTGGTAGAATGGAATTTGGGTCTTTAAGTTGAGAAATTTGATGTTCTAGAATAGGTTTTGGTTCATAATCTCTTTAGATTGGTGGTAGGAAGGTTTAGAATCACTTAGACAAGTCTAATTAGGTATATAACACAATCTAGGGGTGTTAGAAGTTGGGGAAAATAGTTAGAATTGGTGAGTGGTGTATGAGTTTCATTATTATGCAGAATTTCGTTCTGTAGATTATGCAGACTCGTTGTGCGGATGGTTTCGCACAGCGAGTCCTTACAGTGAGGTGCTCTCTATTCAGTCATTCGCACAGCGAATTGGTGCGCTGTGCGAGTGACTAGAGAGGGTTGCTCTCTATCTGATGATTCGCATAGCGAATGGGGTGCGCTGTGCGAAAGTGCTGAGTTTAGTTTACTATCTTTTTCTATCATCTTGTGTTGTACTATGTTGAGTGTTGTTTGGTTTGTGAAGTATGTTTGAGAGTGTATTGTATTATATAATAAAAGATAACATGGATGTTAACTACACATAAAAGTATGTCATTCAAAGTGAATGAAAGTATGTGGTTTTAAAGTATGGTTGCCTCAAGGCCCGAAACAGACTAACCTCGTGAGTGTGGTAGGGTGAAACCCATTGACAATGGCTTTGCAAAGCAGTAGAGGCCATCCCGAGTGCATGACCAGCCATAGCTCGGCAATCATTCTAAGTCCGGACGGTCAAAGTCAGTGTAGTGTCTCGCATCAAGTATTTCATGTTAGAAATGACTATGTATAATTATATGAAATATAGTTGATAAATATAATCGTTTTCTTTTATTTAAACTAGCTTACCTTTACTTTTATATTGTCTTTTTTTGTATGTTTTCTCTTTTGCGATGATCACCTGATTGGTGTGAGCTTAGGGAAACATTTGTTTCAGTTACTTCAGCGGTAGGTGATCGGAGGGATTCAGTATAGAAGTCGAACGAATCTACAAGTGTAGATATTGTCTTTAGTAGGTTTGTTCCTTATATTAGCTAATTTATCATATATGTAATATTCATTTTAGTAGTATTTTACTATTAAAAATGTGATGTTAAAAAGGCAAAACTTTAAAGATTAATTATATATTAAGATTAATTTTTTTAATAAAACCACATAATTATATATAATAACAAAAACATAAAACTAAATAATTAATTTCATATAATATATATATAATATCTATAATATTATAAATTAAATAATTAATTATCCATAATATCTAAAAATATATTATATTAATATTTAAGTTGAAAAATAAATGTTGATAATTTTTAACTTTATATTTTAAATAAGGAAAATTTTAATATCTAAACATCACATAAAAATTTATTAAAAAAATAAAACACAACAAAAGAATATAAAACATGAAAAACCATGTTAAAACTATAATAAAATTTATATTTTACGATACATAAATAAACCTCTATTTTTAGAGGAGCCAATGATCATAATTTCTATAGGGTTAAATATGTTTTTGGTCCCTTAACTTTAAGTGAAAATTAGAATTAGTCACTCTTCAAAACTTTTGACTAATTTAGTTTCAAAACTTTATAAATGCATGAATTTAGTCCTTTTTACCAAATTTTGTTAACTTTATTTGATGTTTCAAACACATTTCTCAATTAATATTGAAGCAAAAATGTGTCAAAAGGTGTAAACAACTTAGATACTATCCTAAAACGCACTTGAAACATCAAATAAACCTAACAAAATTTAGTTAAAACGACTAAATTCACATATTTCTAAAGTTTGGGAACTAAATTAGGCCAAAGTTTTGAAGAGGGACTAATTCCAATTTTAACTTGGGACAAAAACATATTTAACTCATTTCTATATTTTATCATTATAGCTAATATAACTAAAATGAATATGTAATTTAATACACTTATAATTATAAAAGAAAATACATACATCTAACAGATGGTTCTTTATTATTTTAAATTATTGAACTATCAATAATTAAATCATATATAAAAGTTTTAGTTTTTTTTTTAATGTAAATTGTATGCAAGAAATTTATCTCCTATTTTATTTTGTGCAATCATGTTTTGATAAATCATTATAAAAAAATAAAATTGTTCTGGTCAAGTAAAGTCTACACTTTATTTTACCATAGATTGACATAATTTGAATATGATTGATAATTTTTTTTT